GGATGAGTTTCTGATTGTTCATCAGAGGAAGTACTCTGCTGCTAGAAGTAATCTGATTACTGTCAGAGGATACTACAGGACTGTCTTACTGTGAAGTTCAGGTGCTGATGCTAACTTTAGACGTTAAAGTTTAAACACCCACATTACAGCCACTACTGCTGCTATGGAGTCGTCTCAGGTGTGTTTCTGAACAAAGCAGCAGACGGACCATAAATCAGAACAACATCGTTCCCTCAGCAGCAGCAGTGGAGCATCAAGGCCACACTGACGCTGCTTAGATTACATCCCATTAAACCCAGAGCGACTCTGGATGAAAGAGCTGCTCAGCATCAGCGCTAACGAGCAGAGCCGGCCTCAGCATCGTCCCAACAAGCGTCGTCTCAGAAACAGAAGCTCACACATGCATCATGCTGACAGCAGCGCAGCCACCACTGGGAGGAAACCAGTTCTGCTGTGGGAGTTCTGGTTGATGGATGAAGCAGCTCCAGCACCGACAGATCGGATCCCTGATGAGCTGCTGCTTCCTGACCTCTCTGCTCTGACGGCTGATTGGACGCAGCCGAGACGTGAAGCAGCAGAACAAACATTCCCAGATGGATGAACTGGGCGTGCTGGGATGAGACCAGCAGGACCGACACCAGCACTTCCTCTGAAACTAAATCAAAACTGAGCGTGACACTAAACTTAGACTGGACACCTCCAGACACGGGTCGAGTCAGACGTGGTTTGCCAACAGGCGTCGTCCACTGCAGGAGCTACAGGTGGCGCCACCGCCTGGACCGACCCTCTGATCTTCACCTTCAGTCTCAGAACCAGCAGCTTCAGGTTGAACTCAGAGACCAGAACAAACCGTCGCTGCTGAGTTTATCGGGACTATTTGAGTCATTCTGGATTCAAGCTTTAAGTCATTTTAGTTTTTAAGTCATAAATCATGGAAGTGTGATCAGCGTGACCAGAACCGGTCGGCAGGAACATCCTCCACAACACTGACGTGGTGGACTCAGAGGACAACATGGTTCCTTCTCCATGTGCCTTCCAGCAACTTCAACCAGGTAAGGTTCTCCAGATGCTCTGACAGCCCAGACCTTCATGATTCTGGGTCCTACACAGAAGTGGAGTTACATCCAGGAGCAGTTGGTTCTGGTCTCTGAGTTGATGTGAAAGCTGCTGGTTCTACAGCAGAGTCAGATATTGAAACTTGTGCTACATGAGCTCTGGTTGGAGGTCCTGAACCTCCTCAGAGTCTCTGTCATGGTCTCGTTGCTGCTAAACTCCCACAATGCTCTCTGCTGCCACCATGAGGTACTGCAGCTGCTGAGGTGGTTCTTCCTCTGGTTCCTTGTTTGGTTCTTCCTGTGGTTCCTTGTTTGGTTCCTCCTCTGGTTCCTCCTCTGGTTCCTCCTGTGGTTCCGTCAGCTCAGCACAATAATCATTCAAACATAATAAAGCCAGAAGAACAGCAGCTCCGTGTGAAGTTTGTGTTTCAGTCTCAGCTCTGCAGCTGATTCTGGTTCCGATCCAGAAACCTGACCTCCTCCACATTCCTCTGGGGAGTCTGAGCAGAGTTTCAGCAACAAACAGAACCAACGGGTCAGAAATGATCACGACAACCACAAAGACCAAAGCTGATGATACCCGAACGAAAGATCTGCTTCAGAACCCAGCAGCTCCTTGTTCTGTCGGTGTCGCTGCAGATACACCTTCACTGACAGCCGTGTACCATAATTCATCTGTCATCACCTCAGATAACAGAGCCACGGTTCCTCACAGAACACCGGAGGAACGTCAGCAGCAGAGCAGATGTTTGGACTCGGGTCAAACCAAAACTTTGACTCGTGGTCCACTGAGGTGTTCTCAGCAGGGAGTCAGTGAAGAAGAATCTCACCTGTGGCTGCTTCGCCTCCTGCTGAGTTCAGACCTGCAGACAAACAGAACAGACGGAGAACAGGTGAGTCACCGAGGAACCGGTTCTACACAAACGTCACAGTTAGGTCTCTTTCCGGTCGTTTGGCTTGTTGTCGTCGCTTCAGTGTTCTGATGAACTCATAGAATCATTCAACGATGAGACGGTTAAAGTTCTGAACGTTAGAAAACAAACAGGAACTAAAATAAAATACAATAAATAGAAAACACTGAAACCAACAGAACGCTGAGAACAT